CTGTGAAGCTTCTGAAGGACTTAGACTGAAGTCATTTGCACCCATGTCCCATACTCTCACAAGCCATGTGGTGAGGGGCTCTTTGATTGCTTGCTTGTAAGTTTCCCTAGTTCTTTCTGTTGTTTTTTTAAAATTTTATTTATTATAATTATTTTATGTGTATGCATGTATTGCCTGCATGTAGGTAAGTGCACCCGTGACGTGCAATGCCCGCGGAGGTCAGAAGAGGCTGTCGGATCCCCTGGGACTGGAGTTACGGACAGTTGTTAGCTGCCATGTGGGTGCTGAGATTTGAACCCAGGTCTTCTGTTCTTAACCTCTGAGCCATCTCTCCAGCCCCTTTTTCTTTTTTGAATCAAAGGTTGAATCTGAGGAGCAGCTTTAGCTATTTTATTTTTAGGTCATTTCTTTTTTCACTATTAACTGTCTTTTTTCCTGAGTCCTTGGATCTTACATAAGTTAAAATGTCCTGGTTTTTTTTTTTTTTGTTTTTTGTTTTTTTCTCTCTCAAGTTCAGAAACTGGATCTGTCAGGACCTCCCTGGCCTTTTCAGCTTCCCCTGCCTTGTGCAAATCTTTTATTATGCAAAGTGGCCACGCCCCCTCTGGGTTCTCCACTTGTGTTCAAGGCCTATGAAAGTTTTTCTAGTATTTCTATAACCTTTAAAAAATCTTCACACACCTGCAACTGGCCTATTTCCCCATATTTACAACACAGCTGTGGCCCACGCCTCTGCGTGGCCAGTACCTTATTAGCTACATATTTTAGAATCCATTGTGTAACCCATGTGACTATCACTAACTCCACTAAGCGTATGGGGTTTGGCTGCCCTCTCCCCTGGGTTCCCGCCAGTTTCTCCTGGATGGGTCATGTTGTCTCACAGGACCCCTTGTGGCACTCCTCTCTGTCCTTTTGGATTTGGGAATCTGAACCCAGCTTCCTTTCGATTTGCTCACCAGATGCTGCTGGAACCGTGCCATTTTCCCAGGCCCACATCCCCAAGTGGACTTCTGCAGTTCGTTTATCCTGCCGACTACACCAATTTGTCACACTAAATTTTTTTCTCTTTTCCCTTCTTGGGAGGCTCCTTCCCAAGGCCCCAGGCTCATGGACTAACATAAGACGTTTTAGTTTGGGGGTTTCCTTTATGGTAGGGAGTGCAGGGTGACTTACAAAGAAACCCCCTGGTGTGCCTCAAGGTGCCTGTTCCGATTGCTTCTGCACCCTGCCCATAGTCTCCGTTAGCTTTTGCCCACACCCTATGGGCCCTCAGTCTCACTCCAGGTCTGTAAATGCCCCATCTCACTTCCACACTCATGGGACACCCTGGCCATTTTCCATGGCAGCTGCACACCTCATCCTCTGTTCCAATCTCCTGCCATGTTAGGCTCCACCTTCCTTCCCAGGGTGCCCTGCGCTCACCCGTAGCTCTTCACAGGAATAAGTCGGGAGGAATAAGTCATTTCTGGGCTACACATGCCCAGCATGGGTACTTTTTAAATATTTTATTATTTTTATTTTATGTGTAGGTGTGTATTGCCTGCATACAGGTAAGTGCACCCGTGTTGTGCAACGCCTGTGAAGGACAGAAGAGACTGTTGGATCCCCTGAAACTAGAGTTAAGAACAGTTCATAGCCACCATATTGGTGCTGGGATTCAAACCCAGGTCTTCTGCAAGAACAGTCAGTGTTCTTAACCACTAAGCCCTATCTCTAGCCCCTTGGTTACTTTTTAAAAATACGTATTTTAGACATGTTGGCTGGGCTCTTCTGTGAAATGAATATTCAGGTCTTGGGCCCCTCCTGTGTGTGAGTTTTCTTACCTGTCACAGTCTTCAGTTTATTATAACTTTTAATTCTTGTTGTTGACATTTTTTGCATATTTGCTGTTTCCTTGAAGCTGTTGTTTCATGTTTTTATTTTTCCTTTATTGACCGAAGGGGTGGGGCTCTGGTTTTTACTTGATGAGTGGATCTCTCTCTGATTTCTTTGCGTGCCAAACTTGGACCGTAACAGAATCTACCTCATAATGTGACTGTGGAGATAAAATTATGAATTCTGTTTAAGGGCTCAGCCAGTGTCTGGCACATGGGACGTTGTCTAAAAATAGAACAGATGCCTCTGAACCCTGACCTTCTTGGTTGTTTTACTGTTCTTAGCCCCAAAGCAGTCGTCTGGTCTGTCTCTTGCTGCGACTCTGTCCCCTGGTGAGCTGACTGTCCTCCTCCCCATTTTGTCCCCCTGCAGAGATGCTGTCCCCTCCTCCGTAGGCCTGAGGGATCAGGAGCGATGGGGACAGCGGCCTTCTCATCGCTATTGCTGATGCTGCTCCTGGCAACTGGAGAGGCTGACATGAAGGGACATTTTGACCCTGGTGAGGAAACTGAGTCTTGGGTCCCTGAGGGATAGAGCTTGGGGATCAAAACATCAGGGGGACCCTGACCTGTCCCATGCCTGTGCCCCTCAGCCAAGTGCCGCTATGCCCTGGGCATGCAGGACCGTACTATTCCCGACAGTGACATCTCTGTGTCCAGCTCCTGGTCAGACTCTACCGCCGCCCGCCACAGCAGGTATCTGACACCAGGTGCTGCCCTGAGGGAGTCCCAAAGGGGACCTCAGTGTGTCCTTTCAGCCCCATTGACACTCATGCAGTGTGGTGGGGGCAGGTTTTAAGTAGACCCAAGGGCCAGGCTGGCAGTGTGGCTCAGTTACAGTGATTGCCTAGAACACAGGAAGCCCTTTGCTCAATCCCCAGCACATCATAAACTGGGTGTGGTGGTGCGCACCTATAATCCCAGGAGGTGGGGGCAGGAGGATCAGAAGTTCAGGGTCAGCCTTGGCTACATAGTGAGTTTGAGGCCAGCCTGAGCTACACAAGACCTTGTTTCAAAACAACAACAACAACAAACAAACCCCAACAAACAAAACAATAACAACAAATTCAGGTCAAGTGTTCTGAGTGCTTTCCTCCTCCCAGGCTGGAGAGCAGTGATGGAGATGGGGCATGGTGCCCTGCAGGGCCCGTGTTCCCCAAAGAGGAGGAGTACCTGCAGGTGGACCTCCGGAGGCTGCACCTGGTGGCTCTGGTGGGCACCCAAGGCCGCCATGCTGGGGGCCTGGGCAAAGAGTTCTCTCGAAGCTATCGTCTGCGTTATTCCCGAGACGGCCGCCGCTGGATGGACTGGAAGGACCGCTGGGGTCAGGAGGTGAGGCTGGTAGGGAGGCATCACAGGAACCCAAACAGCATCCTTCTCTTTCCAAGGTCTAGTTGGAGCATCTCCGGCAGGAGATGGCCTTGAGTGCCACCCAGTGTTCCAAACCTGGCCAGTCCTGGCCTCCTGGTGTCCTGCCAGAATCTCCAACTTACCATTGATGTCTCCAATGGATCTTGGTTCCCATGCCCACTCCAAGCCTGTTCCTTTCCCCACGTTCTCAGCTCAGGAAATGTTCCCCCTACTGTGTGGTAGTTCAGACCAAAGCTAAGATGATGCCTGTGGCTCTCTCTCACCTCTCCACAGCCATGGTCAATCTATGCCACCTTTGTGGCATTTCCTGAAACCCATCACTTTTCCCTACTCCCCTTTACAGCCCTAGGCCCATGTGCCCTGTCATCCAGCAGAGATGCAGTCTCCAACTATAGTGTCTGCTTCTGCCCTTTTCTGACATCAAATCTCTACTCTGGGCTCCAGAGTAAATCAGGGGCCTTAGCAGATGTAAATCAGATGGGTGTGTCCAGCTCTCAGCCTAGCACTGGCTTCCTTTCTACCAGAAAAACCTCTCAGTTCCTTGGCTAAGTGCAGAGCTCTTAGCCTGGCCTAATTCCAGCTCCAGGAAACCCTACACCCTCTTCTGGCTCCTGAGGGCACTGCATTCACGTGCACAAACCCACATACAGGGCTGGCGGCCACACTGATTTTCTTGCTGTTTCTGGAACAAAGCAGGGCCCATCCCCACAGTCAGGGCCTGTTCACTCGCTGTTCTCTGTGTCTGGCAAGCTCCTCCCCGAGACACCCACTCTCTGCTACTTCATCCGGTTCTCCCCGGAGATATCTCCTCTTGGAGATCCCTCTCTGGATACCCACCTCACTGCTCCACCCCACACACTGCCTCTTGTTCCCTCACAGCTGTTTCTCCAGTGGACTCTCAGTCCTGTGTGGACGGAGTGGCTTCACTGGAGTCATGCCTGGCCCAGAGTGGGCATTCGGCTAGCTGCTGAATGAACAGCAGGAATGGGATGAAGCAGTCAGGGGGTGCTGAGGCAGGATTCCAGGGGCTAGGGTGCTGGTAGGATATGGGTACAGTGGAGCGAGTGGCCTGGAGGCACATGTAACCCGACAATGGGAGCTGCGGTGGAACTGAAGGTGTTTGGGGCAGTGGGAAGCATCTGGGATCACTGCTGCAGAACCTCATTTTTAAAATGCTCAGCTGCACCCCATGGTGCTATGTGCCATCACCCTTAGTGGCCCCTGTGAGCTGGGCCAGGGAGCACCTGAAGGCTGGGAAGTTAGCCCTGATCTTGAATCCTGCCCACCCATCACCCCTTTTCCTGGCCCACAGGTGATTTCGGGTAATGAGGACCCAGGGGGAGTGGTGCTGAAGGACCTGGGGCCTCCCATGGTGGCTCGGCTGGTTCGTTTCTATCCCCGGGCTGACCGGGTCATGAGTGTCTGTCTGCGGGTGGAACTCTATGGCTGCCTCTGGAGGGGTGAGTGGGCCAGTCCCCTAAGAACCCCTTTCCAGGTTGGGGACCCAGGGGTGGAGGATGTGCCGAGGGACAGCAGGGATCCTTTCCTGTCGGGAAGCTGTCGCAGAACAAGGAGGAACCTGGCTAGTGTCGCCTCCTCCACACTAATAAGAAGGGCTGAAATCACTCGGGCCCCATGTCTCTAACTCCCCTCTTCCCATCCTTCCTAGATGGACTCCTGTCTTACACAGCCCCTGTGGGGCAGACCATGTACTTATCTGAGGCCGTGCACCTTAACGACTCTACCTATGATGGATATACTGCTGGCGGGTGAGAGGGGTGACCCCACAGGACATGGAGCTTGGGATGGGAGAAGCCAGGTGTGTGTGCTGTGGGGCAGGGAATTGCCTGGGCAGTGAGATGGAAGAACTAGAAACAGGTGGGGCCACAAGAGACAGGCCAGGAATAAAGGACAGGTAAGGTGACCACTAGCCCAATGGGCACTTTGTATGAATGAGAAAGAGGCACCCTAAGGCCAGCATGGTGGTGCATGCCAACAGTGGCCTGGAACTCATTGTGTAGCCAGGCGGGCCTTGAACCTGTGGCAGTCTTCTGTCTGAGCCTCCCAAGTGCTGTGATTACAGGTACGAGCCATCATGATGGGCAAATTAGTGCCCTTAAAAAGAGACCCCAAGTCAGGCACGGTGCAATCCCAGAACTTGGGAGGTGGAGGCAGTTGCGTTAGGGGCTCATCCTTGCTGCACAGCAGGTTCTAGGCCAGCCTGGGGGACTTGAGATGCTGTGGCTAAAAGCAAAACAAGGCACCCCCAGCTAAGAAGAGTGTTGGAAATGGTATGTCTACCTTGTGATTGGTCTAGGGGTGGTATAGGCAGGAGAAGAGACTGATGGGTTGGGGTGGACTGGGGATGGGACCAGGCTGTTCCCTGTGCAGGTTACTGTTGGGGTGTGTGTGTGTGAATACCTGGGTGGTTGGTACCCTCTTTCCTCAGCTTTTCTTCCTGTTCCCTCCAATCAGGCTGCAATATGGTGGGCTGGGCCAGCTGGCGGATGGCGTGGTGGGGCTGGATGACTTCAGGCAGAGCCAGGAGCTGCGGGTCTGGCCAGGCTATGACTATGTAGGTTGGAGCAACCACAGCTTCCCCAGTGGCTATGTGGAGATGGAGTTTGAGTTTGACCAGCTGAGGGCCTTCCAGGCCATGCAGGTGAGTGAGCCCTGCGCTCCCTGGGGACACCAGTGCCAGGGGTGCTGCTGGGGAGTGCTGGACTCTCTTGGCCTGACTCTGTTCCTCCTCTGTCCCCCAGGTCCACTGTAACAATATGCACACGCTAGGAGCCCGCCTGCCGGGCGGGGTGGAATGCCGATTTAAGAGGGGTCCTGCCATGGCCTGGGAGGGGGAGCCTGCGCGGCATGCCCTGGGAGGCAGCCTGGGAGACCCCAGAGCCAGGGCCATCTCGGTGCCCCTGGGTGGCCGTGTGGGCCGCTTCCTCCAGTGCCGCTTCCTCTTCGCGGGGCCCTGGTTACTCTTCAGCGAGATCTCCTTTATCTCTGGTAAGCCCCTGGAGTGTGCCCAGCCTCAGCCCTGGGCTTGCCAGCTGATCTGACCGCTAACCTTGCGGAGAACCAGAGTTATAGGTTCTTTTATGGATTGTTTTTTTGTCTTTTTGAGACAGGGTCTCCCTGTAGCCCCAGCTGTCCTGGAACTCACTATGTAGACCAGGCTGGCCTTGAACTCGCAGAGATCTGCCTGCCTCTGCCTCGCAGAGTGCTGGGACTACAGGCGTGCGCCACCACGCCCAGCCTATAGATTGTTTTTTTTAAAAAATGTTTTGATTAGCTGGGCTACAAACCGTCCTTAACTCTAGTTCCAGCGGACTCCGAAGCTCCTCTCTGACCTCTGTGGACTTGCCCTACACAGGTGCACTCACATACATGCAGGCAATACACTCAAACACATAAAATAAAAATAATAAAATATTTTTTTAAAAAGACCAAAAAAAATCTTTTAATTTAATCTATTAAAACATAATTTATTTACGTGCATGAGTGTTTTGCCTACATGTAAGTGCACCATGGGTGTGCAGTGTCTGTGAAGCTGAGAGGACAGCATCAGAGCCCCTGGAACTGGAGTTACAGATGATTGTGAGCCACCATGTGGGTGCTGGGAACTGAACCCGGGTCCTTTGGAAGAGCACCCAGTGCTTTTAACCTCTGTGCCATCTCTCCAGCCCCTACTTTTATTTTTTTGAGGTAGGGTCTCATCAGGTCATTCAGACTGGCCTCAAACTCACGATCCTCCTAAAGGCTAGATCTCCTTTGTTCCCAGATCCCTCTGTCTTTCCATAATGACCCCCTCACTGGTGACCCATCCTGAGCCAGAGTGACAGCACTGCTGGATAAGCCTGAAAGACTCTTGGATTAGTTCAGAAGTGGCCTCTTCTCTTAGCCATGCTGCCCAGGCCCCTCTCCCTGGCTCCTCCCATGAGCCTTCCACTTCCCCGCGCACAGGGACTCCCAGACTGCTGCACCAATGATTCACGTGCTCTAATAGTTGGTGTCTGGCTGGCCAGTCCTGGCTTGATCAACCCCCATCACCAACTCAGTCTCAAGGGCCTGTGTTCCATCAGGTCCTCTCCTGATTTCCATTTCTCTTTGCTCCCTTCCCTCAGATGTGGTCAATGACTCCTCTCTGTCTCCTGGGGGCACCCTCCCTCCAGCCCCCTGGTGGCCACCTGGACCACCTCCCACCAACTTCAGCAGTTTGGGTGAGCAGTCCCTGGGCACAGTTCTTCCCTAGCTTCCTTCTCCTGTGGGGTGGGACACCTGCTGTGGTGCTGACCTTTCTCCTCTGCTAGAGCTGGAGCCCCGGGGCCAGCAGCCTGTGGCCAAGGCGGAGGGGAGCCCGACTGCCATCCTCATTGGCTGCCTGGTGGCCATCATTTTACTGCTGCTGCTGATCATTGCGTTAATGCTCTGGAGGCTGCACTGGCGCAGGCTGCTCAGCAAGGTGGGCAGGGCGTTGGTGGGCGGGGCCTGCTCAGTCAAGGTCTGGCAGGGTCTGCATGGCTTAGGCTGATACCAGAAATAGACACCGCTTTAAAAAGTTTAGTTCCAGCACTGGGGAGGCAGAGGCAGGTAGATCTATGTGAGTTCAAAGCCAGCCTGGTCTACATAGTGACTATAGGGAGACCCTGTCTCATAACAGAAAAGTGAGGGTCACACTGTGTGAGTTGGTCCTGTCCGGGATGAGAGGAGGCAGCAGTCACCACAGCCAGGAAGGAGCAAGAGCCAGAGTCCTGAGACTTGAAGGGGGCGGGGCCTCCAGTACAGGTAGCAGACCAGACCCCAGGGAGGAGTCAGGAGAACCAATCTTGCCTCACTTTCTGCCTTCCTAATCAAACTCTGTCAAACTCTGGCTGAGCGCTTTTCTGACTAATCCCAACCAGCCTGTTGGGAACGAAACAGTGGGACGAAGGTGGCAAGTGACAGGTGCCTGCATTCCCTAACCCTCAACTTCCCATATCGGGGAGGGTGATGCCCATTAAGGTTGATAAATAGGCCTGATCAGACTTGGGTTGGGTCCTATGGAGCTGTAGTTGTACCACAGCTCTATGAGACAACAGACCAACTCTGACCCGAGAGCACCAAGACGCCTGTGTTAAGCATAGCTTAATGTCGCCCATTCCCATAACAAGGCCGAACGCCGGGTGCTGGAGGAGGAGCTGACGGTTCACCTTTCTGTCCCTGCGGACACCATCCTCATCAACAACCGCCCAGGGCCCCGAGAGCCGCCCCCTTACCAGGAGCCCCGGCCTCGGGGGAATCCACCCCACTCTGCGCCCTGTGTCCCCAACGGCTCTGGTAAGACCTGCTTTGTTCAGTCCCACCTCGTCCTCTGTTTTCTTTCCTGTCCCTCTCTTTTCTTGTTCCCTTTTCCTGAGAATACCGGTTTCAGTTCGTTTTCTTATTTCTGTGCCCCTTCATCACTCCATGTCCCCACCACATCCTCCCTTGAGGATTCCCTATTACCTAGAATGCCATGGGCTTATCCTGTCTGTGTCCCTCGTGTCTTACCTTCCCTGTCATGCCTCTCATTGTTTTCTAGACTGACTCGCCACGTTGTCCTTTCCATCCACCTGTCTTCCCACCCCCACCATCTGCCTATATTTACATATCCACTTACCCAGCCTACCATGCATCCATCTGCATATCCATCCATTCGTCCACCCGTCACTCTTCCATATGTATCCATCCCTTCATCCATTCATCTAACCGTCCTGCCATCCAACCACCCATCCGCCCCACCACCCATCTGTATTAGCTATGCATTTGTCTATCCATTATCCACAACTCTGACAGCAGGTTTATCACCATCCATCACCCATCCATCTATCCACCATCCATTTAGCTCAGCAGCACTCTCCAGGTCCGTGTTTTATCTGTCTCCGTCTCCTGTACTTTCATTCCTATAAGCTCCCGTCTTACCCTCTCCCAGGTTTCCGCGTCTGTCTAGCCTTGAGTCTCACCCCTTCCCCGTGTCTCCCCCCTCCTTCTCCCGACAGCGTTGCTGCTCTCCAATCCGGCCTACCGCCTCCTTCTGGCCACTTACGCCCGCCCCCCTCGAGGCCCGGGCCCCCCCACACCCGCCTGGGCCAAACCCACCAACACCCAGGGTAAGCCCCTCTGCCGCTGGGCTCCGCCAGGCACCCCGCACCTCTACTGGGGCAGGGAAAAGCCCTCGCCTTGCAGTCCGCTTCCCCGCTGTGGCCTCTGCTCTCCTGAGCTCCCCAGCCCAGCTCTGCTGCCAGGAGCCAGGCGGAAGGCTGCTGCCCCCTCCTCCTCTCCCACTGCTCTCCAGAGCTGGTGCCCGCTAAGACTGTAACGCCTCCTTTATTTTCCCCTCTCTCTAGAGCTGCGAGGAGGAGGGCCTCGCCCTGGGCTCTTGCCCTCTCCCCCCTGTGTCCTTTCTCCGCAGTCCCAGAGGTGAAGGCTCTCGCCCACCCCTCCTGTCTGCTCCTCCTCCCCTCCGTGTTGCCTTCTCACTGTGGCCCCTTCCCCAGGGCCTAGAGGGGACAGCTCTGCCTCCCTCCTGTCTGTAGCCATCTTGTTGTGGGGGCCGTGAGGACCTGTCGCCCTCTCCCTTCTCTGTGTGCCCTGTCTCTGCCTGTCTTCGAGCTTGGTGTATTGGGGTTGAGGGTGACTGTGGTAGGGAGGGCAGAGCTGACAGCAACAGAAGCAAGTGTTGAATGGGACAAGGGTTGGATTGTAGAGGGACTCGTGGCTGGGACCTCCTTCAGATAATGGAGGAACCCCTCTTCCAGCCTAGACTTCTCACCTGTGGTCTGACCCTAGAGGTGAGATTTTTATGGTATCTTCAGCTTAACTACTTGTGTTGCCTTGAACACCTCTTCTGGGGTGCGTAGTACTCACCTCAGGTGGTACCTGCTCTGGTTTGAGCTGGTGGCCAGGACATCAGGGGCAAGACAGGCTGGGGCCTCTGGAAGACTGGGGCCTCTGGAAGACTGGGGCCTCTGGGAGGCTGGGGCCTCTGGGAGGCTGGGGCATGGAGAACCATGCTGCTCAGGCTGCCCCTGATGCCCCGTCCTGTCTTCTCTCCCCACCCCTCTAGCCTGCAGTGGGGACTATATGGAGCCAGAGAAGCCGTGTGCCCCCCTTCTGCCTCCGCCTCCCCAGAACAGCGTCCCCCATTATGCCGAGGCTGATATTGTCACCCTGCAGGGCGTCACCGGGGGCAACACCTATGCTGTGCCGGCGCTGCCCCCAGGGGTGGTTGGGGATGGGCCCCCCAGAGTGGATTTCCCTCGGTCACGGCTTCGCTTCAAGGAGAAGCTCGGCGAGGGCCAGTTTGGGGAGGTAAGGAGGATGCCTGCCCTGTGTCCATCCTGCCTGAACCAGATTGGAGCCACGCCTGCATGTCCGTGTGACCCCGAGCCTTGCTGTGTGTGCTGTGCTTCCCCCTTCAACCCTGTGACCTTGTGACCTAGCAGATGAACTTCAACCCTCCAGGTGCATCTGTGTGAAGTGGAGGATCCTCAGGATCTCATCAGTTTTGACTTCCCCGTCAGTGTGCGCAAGGGACACCCCTTACTGGTGGCGGTCAAGATCCTACGGCCAGATGCCACCAAGAATGCCAGGTGAGGCATGGCGTCTGGAAGGGAGGGGCACGAAGACCAGGGGCAACAGAGCCTGGTGTGTGGGAAGGAGGCCCTCGGGAGAGGATGCAGGCTGCCCCATGGTGTCCCCCCCATGGCACTCCCCCCAACCTTCTTCTCTAGGAATGATTTCCTGAAGGAGGTAAAGATCATGTCTCGACTGAAGGACCCAAACATCATCCGGCTACTGGGTGTGTGTGTGCAGGATGACCCCCTCTGCATGATCACCGACTACATGGAGAATGGTGACCTGAACCAGTTCCTGAGTGCCCACCAGCTGGAGGACAAGGCGGCCGAGGGTGTCCCTGGGGACATGGAGGCTGCCCAGGGGCCCACTATCAGGTGCTCACATACCCTGGCAGGGCCTTCCCAAGAGCACCCTCACTCCAGCCTGAAGGAAAAGGAGGGGAGCACGGGGTGAGGGGCAGGCAGAGGTCGGGGGGGCAGGACCTGGGATGAGGCATCCATGTCCATGGTAATCCAGGAATCCAGCCAGAATGCGGAGGGGTGAGGTTTCCTCCTGTCTCAGTGTAACACAAGCTCCTTGGATGGGTGGAGTGGGGACTTGCTGCTGTTCCAAAATTCTCTGTACCAGGAGCAGGCGGGACGTTGGGGATGTAGGGGTGGACTTCTCTTCCTCTCCTGGACAGGAAAGTGTGAAGCAGAGAGGCGTCCAGGCTGCCCCCAGTGACCCTCAGTCTCTGGCTCTTTTACTCAGCTACCCTATGCTGTTGCATGTGGGGGCCCAGATCGCCTCGGGCATGCGGTATCTGGCCACACTTAACTTTGTGCATCGAGACCTGGCCACCCGGAACTGCTTGGTTGGGGAAAATTTCACCATCAAGATCGCTGACTTTGGCATGAGCCGGAACCTCTACGCCGGGGATTATTACCGGGTGCAGGGTCGGGCTGTGCTGCCCATCCGGTGGATGGCCTGGGAGTGCATCCTCATGGTGAGCAGCTGGAAGAGGCAGGGGACGGTGGGAGGTGAGGGGGGGCGCAGGACACCAGCTGCCACAGTGGCTGGCTCTGTGGCTCCGCAGCCACTGGTCTTCTTGGGCTGCAGTTTCCTCGTCTGGAAACTGAGGGTCTCTCTGGCTCAACGGACTGGAAAAAGAGGGATTGGTGGGTGCTGGGAAAGGGATCCAGGAGCCAAGAGTGGGTACCGGGGTGGAGTCAGGGTATTACAGAGGTAAGAGATGGGAGGAAGCTGGGGATAGAAGGAAGATAGAAGGTCAGGACCAGCAGGTAGGAGGCAGGCAGAGAGAAGGGATGGGGAGAGAAAGAGGGGGACAGGGCATTGGTGGGGGGAAGAGAGGAGCAGGGGAAAAGGGGGTGCTAAGCAGAGGGAAGCCTGGGGTCAGGAGTGGACATGGGGCTTCCCCACAGCTACCCTGTCTGAGATCTTTCTCACCTTCTCATGCGCCAGGGGAAGTTCACGACAGCGAGTGACGTGTGGGCCTTTGGGGTGACCCTGTGGGAGGTGCTGATGCTCTGCAGGGCCCAGCCCTTTGGGCAGCTCACCGACGAGCAGGTCATTGAGAACGCCGGGGAGTTCTTCCGGGACCAGGGCCGGCAGGTCAGAGCAGAGGGAGGGTGTGTGGACTGTGGTGGGAGCCATGGGGGGGAGCATGCAGTATGGGTACTCATGCTATTTGTTCCTACTTCTCATCCACACTGTACCTCAAAGGTGTACCTGTCCCAGCCACCCGCCTGCCCGCAGGCCCTGTACGAGCTAATGCTGAGGTGCTGGAGCCGGGAGCCCGAGCAGAGGCCGCCCTTTGCCCAGCTACATAGGTTCCTTGCAGAAGATGCGCTCAACACAGTGTGAACTCGAGACCCTGCAGCCTTCTCCCACTGGGAGCTATCCAGGGGAAGCTGGACATTACAACAAAAGAAGCCTTCAGCACCCCACCCCACCGTCTCCTGACTGGCCATCTAGAGGCAGCCTGACTGCAGGTGGGCTGGGCCTGCCCAGGGAGCTGTCGCCTCTGTCACTGGATACACAGTCCTTTCCCATTCCTCCCAAGCACCACCCACCCAGCTGGCCCTGTGGATGGGATCCTTTCTGACTTCTTCCAGCCATCCCCTGAGGAAGGGCAAACATAAGGCACACACTGAACACGGCCTACTGGATCACCTGGGCCCTACTGGACAACACTGGTTCCTGGGGAGGTGGCTGTGCCCCAGCCTCCTTCCTGTCACACACTGGACACCGTCGGCTGAGAATCTGGGGGTGAGGAGGACTAGGAGAGAAGACATGTTCCCTGTGCCCACCCCTACAGTGGTCTTCAGCCCTGACTCCCCCTGCTCCATCCCCTGACACACTGGACCTAGGGGTGGGTGATTCCTGCCCTGATCCTCAGCCGAACCCCCTTCCCACCTGCCGTGCTGTAGTTAGATGGTCTCGAAGCCTGTATGTTTCTGTGGAGTAAATACTGGGATTGGGGGACAGAGGGAGCAATGCCCCCAGGCTGGGGGTGGGCATCTCTATCGTAGCTGCCACATTGGTTTTTCTATAATCACTTGGGGTTTGTACATTTTTGGGGGGAGAGACACAGATTTTTACACTAATATATGGACCTAGTTAGAGGCGATTTTAATGCTCTGCACTAGGCAGGTAATAATAAAGGTTGAGTTTTTCCACAACTGTGAGCAGGTTTCCTGGGTCTGGGTGGAATCTGCCTCCTGCCCCTCACTCTCTCAGCCTATTCTCTTCCCTCTCCAGTCTGTGTCTCACACCCCGTGTGGTCCAGCAAGTCACCTGTTGCTACTTAATCCAGACCTCTGCCAGTCAGGCCAGAGGAGCTGTGTCCACTTGGACACTCCTCAGAAGACCTGGAAGGAGGGGCTTCAAGCCAAGGGTGCTGAGCATTTTTTTGGTTTGAGGCAGGGTCTCATGTAGTCCAGTCTGGCCTCAAACTCCTTACGCAGTTATGGCTGGCATTGAACGCCTGATCCTCTTACCTCTACATCCCAAGTGCTAAGACTACAGACTTCTACCATAAGGTTTCTGAGCAGTTTTGTTGTTTATATGTGTCATGAGCCCCACTGGGACGTCTGGAGAGGACTGCTGATTCTTCCTTAGAATTTTATTTTATTTTTTAATTTTTACAAAAACTTTATTGAGAATTTCATACATGCATATAAAGTGTTTTGATCAAATCCATGCCCACTCCCTCCCCTCCAACATTCCCCCCTCTGAAGAGGTAACCCTAAAATCTTTTAAAAATTAGATACAAGCTCCAAATGCTTTTGACATTTTTGGCCTTGGAACAAAGTATGTTGCTAAGATGCCCAAGGACATTTTGGCCCAAGGACTGGCTACATTTCTTTGGGGTCTTTTTACCCTTGCTGCCTAACCAGTTCCTACCTCCTATTCTTATGACACCATCCTCTGAAGGGGTTACCCAAATCGCCAATAGGGAGAAAATTTTCTTTTTAAAGATTAAAAAAAAATTGGGCCGGGCGTGGTGGCACATGCCTTTAATCCCAGCACTTGGGAGGCAGAGCCAGGCGGATCTTTGTGAGTTTGAGTCCAGCCTCTTCTACATAGTGAGTT